AATTTGTATCCTGACGTAATTTTGAGAGAAATGATCAGCGAATTTTAGAATAATGGAAGATCTAGTAAGATTGACTAGAAAACTGTGATGAAAAGTGCGCATCAAATGTTTACCCCGTCTTCTGCACTATACGTTTTCACAAAATCGCATAAGTCGATTACCTTCAAAATGTTCCTTTTAAAACTAGATACAGAGTAAAACTAAATGAGCAATAACATTTGTGAATATATAGCTCTGAAATATTAATTTCGGCCGTATGAAATCCATTGTTTAGTTTTGAAGTAGATTATGCACTATATTTAAATAATCTCAAATATCTCATTATTAGCTAGATAGATTTTTTCAAAAATCCCCACAAATGGAGGCATCTAGTATATAATTATGTGGGACGAAGCATTTTAGTGTTGAATGCTCTGCAAGGCTAAATTTATTTTCTAAAYGAAAACAAATATTTCATCATAATCACGTGTTATGACGTCCAATCTCACTAAAAACTGCATCAAATATTAATTCAATCTTTATGTGACTTATGTGCAAAAAAGATTTGCAATCGGATAAAAGACGTTTATGCACTAGCGTTCCAAAAGTGGAAGGTAGCGGTCAAGCGTGAGGGGGTCGAGCCACCTTAAGCCAAGTGGTTCATGTGATGATGTTGTATTGCAGCAGTCTAGATGCATGGGTGACTACAAGCTACATCTCACTATTCTTACATATTATGGCTACTTTTTATAGACATGCAAACTTGGTAGCTACAAACTACATGCTGAAATTATTTATTTATTTTTTGCTTCCGTCAATCAAAACTAATCAGTCAGTTCCTTATATTTTTGACCGGCTGCAGTGAAAAACCAAAATCCGATGGGAAAAACGCAACCATAGAGTTCGCTTGTTTATAAAAATAGTTAACAATGCATGTCAAGTGTTACAATTATTTATCATGAAAAATTGAAAACTGTAACAGTTGCATGTCTTGTAGCTAGGTCTGTGTAGGGTACCGCTAACATGATAAAACCATAAAGATTTAAGCAATTGCATAAAATCAAAAATCATGCTTCCTGTTCATTTTCTCTGAAACCATGGTCTCTTTCTGTGAATGCATATAACGTAAGTCATTATAAAATATGTTTTTTGAATCGGAATATGAAACTTTCAATTTCTYATAGAAAATTCTTGGAAGCACAGGCATTTTTTGTGCATGTATATGGTCGACCCCTTTGAGTAAGCTATATATATATATAATAGGGAAATGTAAAATGTTAAATTATTTCTTCATTGTGATTTAGACGGACTATTTTAAAGTATATATACATTGGGACACATTTACAGTATTACCAATTGTTTATAAAATTCATGCCCTCGGGCAAAAACGTAATAAATGAAATAGTGAATTTTTGTGACATCTTAAAACTACAATGAATTACGAAACTCGTACTCTCATCAAACTGTGGTTTTCTTGCAGGTCTTGAAACCTTTTAGCCACCATATATATCAGCATATTTTTGAAGTTATCTTAGAGGTTAGTGTAATATTTAAGTTACTTCCCTCTCTATTTCGCTTTGTGACAAGTATTGCTAGACATATTCGGTCTTATGCAAACAGTTTACTGCCTTGTACCAAGCATTTCAATGATAATATCGTATAAAAATATTAAGGGAAAATAATCCAAAACTTTGACTTTTAGTGATACAAAGAGATTGAAGTAGGTAATTGGAAAATGTTTACAAAAACGGATCACAAAAACTAAAAGGTATTGTAAAAGATAGGACATGTTTTTGGAGCCATATTTATGGTATATTTTAGAGATATTTCAATCAATAGGTGAATGTTGGATGCCAATTATATATTTAAAGATCTGTTTTGAGATGACATAAAAAGTAGTTATGGATTTAGAACGATCAATGTGTTTGCAATTCGGAGATCTCACGGGAAGTGTTTTGCTAAGACTTGATTTTACAATAACAGGATCAATGTGTCTCGAATTGGAGATCGGAATGAGACAACTACACCTCTTACCTTACTGATAACACGTAGTCTCCAGGGATTGATGAACTGTCTCGTACGAGAAACGTCCCTGGGCTTTTTCCACTGAGTATACTTTCCGTTTTCGGTCTTGAGAGGTACCCGTGAAACCAGCTTTTAGTTAATAAAATATCACAACTTTAGAACGCATTTTTACGACTTTAAGCAATTTTTTTTGGCAATTTGAACTCACCYTTGAGTAAATACACCACTCATTATACAATATAAAGTTTGATTTCTCTACAAACCAATCGAGAAACTACAGAAAATACAGAAAGCGAGCTGAAAAACGACCTTGAGGCTCTCGAAGACGTTCAAATTTGCCAAGTCAATTGATCACTCAAACGTCCAACTTCACTCGCATCTTTCAGCTACGATTTCTGATTAATGCCTTAAAACTTATTCCTCTGATATATCAGGAGTAATCCAGCAGATTATACTCGAGTAAATAGTGGTAGATCGCCGTTAAACACGATGAACATGGAGGTTTGTTCCCCAACGAGTGAACATCCGCAAAATTCCGGAAATTGACTTTGGAAATCAAAAGGGACTGGGTTGAGCTGGAATGAACCAGTTTCGTAACACAGGGTGACCAGTATTACGTCATTATGAGTGGGAGGATTTTTCGGCCTCCACATTCGTACCCATCCCCCTCCCCATCATTTGATGTTTTGACGAGACAGCCATATTACTCGTACTTTTTTATTCATCCATGTATTCTCATAATGTAAACTGATGAATCCATACGATTAAGAATCCAGGGGTGTAGCCAGATTTTGCCCTTGGGGTGGGGTAAGGGGATCAAAACCATTTCCGAGATTGGCAAGTTGAACTTATCACATGACTACATAGATCTTTATGTTTCTACAGCATGGTGGGGTAGGGGGAATGGGCCTCCAAGCAATAGTTTATGAGGGAAATAGGGTGTGGCTCCGAATTTCGCCCTTTCCTCACCCCCTAAAAAAATATATTGACCACCAGTTTGAATCACTTAAATGATCCGAAGATCAAAACAATTATCTGAAAGAGAGACTGGATTTTATTGATGTAGTTGGTGGGGTACTGGTAAGAACCCATTCCCTCTTAGAAACCCATTGAAACCCATTGAAATGCTTGGTACTCAGTGTCTCAGAAACCCATTGAAATGCTTGGTACTCAGTGTCTCAGAAACCCATTGAAATGCTCGATACTCACTGTCTCAGAAACCCATTGAAACACTCGATACTCAGTGTTCATTGTCATAATAAACTATGTTGCTTAGCACATTTACATGCAAAAAGAAAGTGCATCTATTTCTGAGACTTGATTCCGACATGTAGTTCCAGAGATACTTGAGGATAAGATTCAAGATTTCACTCCCAGGGATGGTGGGCACTGGGTACACCCCACCCCTCCCCTCTAAATCAGGACCTGTATGATAAATCTGTTGTGGGATGGCTATACATCCAATCCAACCCAATCCAAACCAGGAAAGTACAAGAAAAAACAAGAACTTGATCCAGACATTTTGACATTTATAATCTATCAAAAGTTTATCTAAAAGATTTGACAGTTTCTAATCTATTTACACATGATTATTCTTACAAGTGTCATTTGCCTCTAGCTAATTATGTCAAAATATCAGTGAGGAACAAACACTTATATATTTACTGAGTTAGTCACAGAAGATAAGAAAATATTTAGGTTAAAATAATTATTTGTTCTAATTTCTAATTTTTATTGAACCCTGAAACAAACTCTGGRATGATCTAAGTAAAAGCAAAAAAATCACTTATCAAAACTCTGAAACCACCTCTGGGCTGATCAAAGTCAGGGCACAGCTAACTCAAAGATTGAACCCTGAAACAACCTCTTCATTGGCTGATCAAAGTCAGAAAATGGTAAACTCACAGTTTGAACTCTGAATTTCAACCTCTGTGGTGATCAAAGTGAAAGTCAGGGTGTATCTAGCTCACAGATCAAATTTTCCAATCTTTCTATTTTTTTTAGTCATTATGACTTATAAGTGTGTGATTGATAAGAAGTTCGCAAGACAAACCAAAAAAGACTTTAATAGAAAAGGGTTTTTTGCCTGCTTTCAAGTATTATTTGATTTAGTTACATACATTAATCTTAAAAAAATATTCCTGTTTTTTTGGGAAGAAAGACTATTATTATTGATGAAATTAATGAAGACATTACCAACTACATTTGCAACATTAAAGCAAGAGAGAACTGTCTAGTATCACGTGACAACCCAAAAGGAGTTGTGATAAAGACTAGTTTTATGTAGCCTCCTACGCAGGCACTATAAGCCGGGGCGGATCCAGGGGAGGGGTGCAGGGGGTGCACACCCCTCGCTGGTTACACTTTGTGCTCCTACTTTGAAGATAACCATTTTGTTTTTTGTCTTTGATTGTAAGAGGTGAAACCTTTCCTGGGTTAATATTGTGCGCAGCACATCTCCCTGAACAAAATCCTGGATCCACCCCTGATACACATCACGCAATGCCTTGAGGATTGCATGACCATACTAATAGCGGCTGCGGCTGCGTTTCATACACAGCAAAAATCATTTATGGGAATTCAAATATGCAGTCAATTTGCTTCATCTGCGACGGTTGTATATTGTACATGCTTGAAATTGATTACTTTGCTTATATTGATAAAATATCATTGAAGGATTATAAGCTAGATATTGTGTAGGGGAAATTAACTAAATAGTGTGCTAAACAATAAATAATTATAAGATATGTGAAGAACAAAAAAAATTGCAAAATAGAGAAACTACATGCATGACAGTAGTCTAAAGTTTTCTTTTGATCACTTTGGCAAATCCATGCAAGAGAAGCTTATTCTATACCTCCCCTTCCTTACCCCCCTGGGGAGATTGGAATTCCAAGGGGTGGGAAGGGTGCAAGAGTCTACCATACATTGTGTAGTTCCAGAAAATATCCATACATCCCCCATGAAGGATTAAAATTTCCAAAGAATAAGGATCTGGTCTTAGACTGATTCCATAAGCCTATGACTAATGCAATCAGTATAGAATGATCTGAAGAAGGAATTCAAGCACTTTCATTCAACATCTTTTGAGTTGATAGGATGTGTCTGATCTAACATCATTGTCTTTTATGTAGGATATCATGAATATCATTTGAAGCTCTGAAAATTAGTACTACATACATATTCTCTATCCTTGCATGGAAATATTTAATTTGTTCTTTGAACAAACCATTTCAGCTACTGAACTGAGTTAAAAAGCTGTGGTTCTATAAGCCATTCATTTCATCTGGATGTAAAGGTCTCACATATGTGAAGGGGAATTTGCCAGTTTTGTTGTTGAACTCACCAAACCAGGCACCATCTTCATGTTTCTTGATAATTTTTATATAGTCTCCCCTCTGTTGGTTGAGAGGTATGTCAATATTAGTATGATTTGAATTCATAAACTATTTATATCACCTCTCCTGCCATCATTATCACTTGTACATAAAGTTTGTGACACATCCGGGGGGGGGGGGGGGGTACTACACCAGAATTTGGGTAGGGGTGTTCTGCTGGGATTCTGAAAGGGGTACCCTGTTTATGATTAAAAAAATCAAATTTGTAGACCCTGTTTATGATAAAAAATATAATTAATTGCACTGAGTTCCTGTTCAATTATCATGTCATCTCGCGTATTGTTTTTTTACGACCATGATAACCAGTTTCAGTCAATACAAAAGTAGAAACCCTGAATATGACAGGAAACTCAGGAAGAACTTGGACCTTGAGTGGAATTGCATGCCCTGTTTATGACAAGAACCTCGAGAAACCATACCCTGTTCAGCGGATCATCCCTGTATAGTCCATATATGGGAGTACCCCCACCCCCCCTTTTCATCATATTGCTGACTTTCTATTTTACCAGATAATATATTTTGAACAATCCTAAACCAAGCTTCTGCATTTACTGGCCAGATATTAAGGCAGGGCATTGATCAAAAAAGCATGAAACCTGCCAAAGTTTTTTTTCCCTACTATAAAAACCTTGATATGTCCAGTACGTTGTGAATGGCTTTGCTTAGCATAAATGTTTTGCTTATGTTGTGCACTTCTGTATGAACCCTTTTACTGTGCTCTTTGCTTGCACAGATTAGTTTGGCCATTATTTTATGTAGTGTTTAATAAATGAGCAGAAGTGTTTTATCAGGATTTAAAAACATGAGGCATAGCCAAGTGTTTTCAACCTGATAAAACACGATCTGCAAGTTTAATGAACGGCTAAAAAAACTCATGATGTATGTTCTCATATCGTACTGAATCCTTTAGGAAATTAACCAAGTTTGATAGAGAAAATCCAAGTTAAAGTTTATGCAAATGAAGACAATCTAAATGAGATATAAAACCTCCTTCATGGTCATGATTTCTATTGTGTTTCCTTCATGAGTTATTAATACGTTTTTCATTCTACAAAATAATAGCTTAGCTCATGCAGTTGTAAGTTATGTCATGTAGCCCTGATATGACCAATATGGCTGCAAGCTTGGCAATAAATTTAAAATTAACCTGTAAAATTAAATGTATTGGATATGGATTACACACGTACATGAAATGTAAGCTGTGTATCATCATAAGGTTTAACATGGTCCATTATGGCCACTGCAAAGTTAAAATCATCACTTCTGATCTGAAAGCAAAATAGAATTATAATTATTGGCAGGTGGGGTTTTTCAATTTCTAGAGACTACACTTTATGATAATTCAATATTTACATCTAGTGGTGGTCTTGTATGGTAACGGAAACTTTCACTTGCAGAAACTCCTGTTGGGTCAGAAGGAGGTCTTCTTGTCGATGTAGTGGGTAGAGATGAAGCAGTGACCTGTAAGAACAAGCATGTGTTATCATTCGCATATACATAGTAAGGCTTGGCCACAGGAGGTACGTACCATTCATGAGCATACATGTGCATTTCATATTAAATATGTCTGTCAACCCCAAAGGTATTCAAATCTGGAGAATTGATAGGGTAGGGACATGACGTCACAGCGGAAAAAAGTGCGCGAAAAAGACATCATTCACTCTGTAACATTTGATCTGATTGGTTTATTTTTGACCAATCAGATTATCGCTTATATTATAATGGCCTGCTTGCGAGAACAGTTTATGAGGAATGTTTTGATTTTGTTAGCGATGTAAAATAACAAAAACAACACAAAAATAATTGGAATTTTATGGTTGTGAAAGTCGAGTCTAGATATGGTCAGCTTCAGCAATTATCCGGGAGATTTGAGGCTCTAATCTGGAGACTGGGAGATACGGTCCAAAATCTGGAGACTCCCGGCTTATCCGGGAGAGTTGACAGCCCTGTGAATGGTACATACCTCCTGTGGCCAAGCCTTACTATGTATATGCGAATGATAACACATGCTTGTTCTTACAGGTCACTGCTTCATCTGTAAAGTAAATTTTACTTTCATGCCGTATCCATAGGATACCACATAAATTAATGAAATTTCAGTTCCAAGATGAAAGGACCAAAACAGTAACATGAGGAATTCATATTCAAAGAAAAACTATCAAATGAATAGAAATAAGACTTAATAGAAGAATGGAAAAAAAAAGTGGAGGTAAAGTGTGCAATTATAAATTGTCAAAAAAATGTCAAAAAGAAATCAAAAACTTGTGGAAGCATCCACTGTATGGCCGGTAGCACAGTGAGTTTAAATATTTTTTATTTTATTTTTTACTGACTGGTTTCACGTATGGCTCTGGGATCATTCCTTCTTTTCCTTTGCTGTCTCTTGCTCTCCACCAATGAGGTTCTTCTTTTTTAATCACTGTCAAAATGTCGCCCTTTCTAAAGGGTAAATCCTCTGGATCCTGGAAAAAATACAAGCAATTATAGTGTGAATCGAAAAACCGTGGGCACCTGGGAATAGTCCGGGAATGTTCTATTGTTCTTTGGCCAATCAGAATTGACCTTCTAACCACAAGATAATGGAAAGATAACAGTAATGCTTCTAATTGGTTAAGAAACATTCGTGAAAGATTTCTAGGTCAAAAATAACAGATGTGATAAACACTACCAGAGTGCTATAGGCCTTTGTTAAAATAGATAAAATTTATAAATAAATGCAACTGCATATTTTACAACTTGCCAACTTGAAAAATTAAGTCTTTACAATCCCATCTCCTTGATAATAGGGTTACCACTTACATTTCCAGGAAAATTATACATTGCTTTGACTGTCTCCAAGTTTTCGGGTTCCTTTGGAACCTACAAGGTAAAGTTAAAAACAAATAATTATAAGTAACAGTTTTCTAATTAATTTTATCCAGATTCTCTGGCTTTACTCCTCCCTCTGCAAAAAAATTCTCCCAAATTCCAATTTAATGATATAAAACAAACCCTGAAATGTCTTCTGGACTGACCTCAGTCAGAGTGCAGCTAGTTCATAGATCAAACCCTGAAACAACCTCTGGGCTGATCTAAGTCAGAGTGCAGTTAGTTCATAGATTGAACCCTGAAACAATCTCTGGACTGATCTAAGTCAGAGTGCAGCTAGTTCATAGATCAAACCCTGAAACAACCTCTGGGCTGATCTAAGTCAGAGTGCAGCTAGTTCATAGATTGAACCCTGAAACAACCTCTGGGCTGATCTAAGTCAGAGT